ATGGCGACCCAAGTTTGGTTTCCAGAATCCACATTTAAAAGCCTGGTGTGGTGATGCATCATCTTAATGCCACTGCTGGGGGGAGGACCCTGGAGCTCTCTGGCCAGACAGCTAAGCCTACTGGGCAAGTTCAGGCCAACGAGAGGCCCTGTCTCAAAAATGAGTGTGGAAGAGCTAGATAAAAATGCCTATTGCTCTTTCAAAGACCAGGATTAGTCCCCAGGATGCATATCAGTCACCTCACAGCCCTCTACTCCAGTTCCAGGGCATCCAAATGTCCTTTGACCTCCTCAGGTACATGTGGTACACATAAACTTATGCTGGCACACAGAGAGACGTAAAAATAAGTAAATCTTTTTAAAATGTGTAAGATAACTGCAATCACACCAGAGGTTGACTTCAAAGGCTTCCGTGGGTACATATGCCTATGTAAGAATGCATCTACAGGAGACACACACACACTCAAAGGCTGTTGAGGGAAAAGCTGAATATGTTAAAGAACTGTTAGTGATTCCCATAATTCTTAAAATGTGAGTTAAAATTCTTTAAGAAAAGATCAGGAATGGATAAAATGGCAATTTCGGCTAAAGTAAAAGTGCTAATGAATTTAGAAGATAGATAACTGTATCAATATAAAATGTAAAAGACTATGAATGGCCAAATCACAATAGAGGAAATGACTTGCCACAAAAGTGTGTGTGTGTGTGGCTGCTCTTGGCTACCACTAAGTCCCAGTATTGGGTGAAAGCCTGGAGATTTGGATGAATGACAAGAAGCCTGGTTTACTTTTTGAGAGAATGTCTCTCACCTTTATTGTGGAGCAGCCTTATATACAAACTTACAAAAACCCCAGGTCAAATGGTTCACAACAAGATATTGATCCTAGTGGGGTGAGGTCAGGAAAACAGGAGGTACCGGTTGTTATGCTGGAAAACAACTCTTAGATACCCCGTGGGGTCTGGGTCCCAATATGCATGTGTGTCACAATAAAAAAAAAAACTGAAAATGAAAAAAAAAAGAGATACAATCTTACACTCCATCAAATTAGCAAAAGGCAAGGAGAGCCAATGTGTGAAGATCAAGCATAGCAAAGAAAAGAGCAGCAGACACCCTCTCATTGCTGATTGGAAGTATAAGCTTCTACAAGCTTGGTACCAAAGATGTCTGTGTGCCAGTCCTTGTAACCTGTGATCACTATTCTATATTGCTGCCTTTCAGATAGAATTAAAGTTAGTACATAAAACAAGGAAAAACCCTTGATTATTTAGGGGTTCCTAAAAGTCAAAGAGGGTACACAAGCAAAGTGGGTCATTGGATAAAAGCTCCTGCTATGAAAGCCTGATGACTTGAGTTCAATCCTTACAGCATATGCTGGAAGGAGAGAATCAACTCCTGAAAGCTGTCCTCTGACATTTGCATACATGTCACGGTACACACATTCATATCTCCTGCACACATGCACACATGTAATAAATAAAATGTTTTAAAAGAAAGTGAAAAAGGGAGGAAGAAGGCAGAATTAGATGAAGAATGATGGTGACAGAAAGAAGCAAGATAATAGAGTCACCAAGTTTCTAGTTTTGAAGATGATGGAAAGGTCCTCCAACCAGCAAATACACACCAGACTCTAGAACAATGGTTCTCAACCTGTGGATTGTGACTCCTTTGGGAGTCCAAGGACCCTGCACAAGAGTTGCTTAAGACCATCCAAAAATACATTTTTACATTACAATTCATAATAGTAGCAAAATTACAGTTCTGAAGTAGCAGTGAAATAATTTTATAGTTGGGGGGTCACCACCACATGAGGAACTATATTAAAGGTCACAGCCTTTGGAAGATTGAGAACTACTGTTCTAGAAGCTAGAAGAGCCAAAGAAATGGTTCTGGAGACCCTGAAAAGACTGTTGTGGCCTTGCCTATATCTTTAGCATCATGACATTCATGTCAGGCTTCTGAAAGCAGAAGACAGCAAATATGAGTGATTCCAGGCCCTTTCCTGATGATTTCTTCTGGGAGCTAGAGAAAACGATGTCTTTCAGTCATAGAGGACATTAACACATGGGTGCCCCTGGATAAAAGAGCAAGCAGGGAGAATAAAGATAAGAGGTCAGTTTGAGTGAAAACCAGCATAAAGTTGCGTAGAATAAAATAGTTTGCCCTGGGTTCTGTATATAATGAACCTATTCATGTAAAATTATAAGGCGGGCAAACAAGATGTCTATTGATGCACATGTGTAAATAAAGTATAAAACATTTACAACAATGAGAAATACTAACTTCAGGGTGATGATTGCCTCTGAGGCGAGAAAGCAATTGGTCAGAAAGCATTTGTGGCACAAGGTGAAGTTTTGCTAAAGCTGGGGGCACTCCATTGTTCCTTTTATCATGACTTATGCTTACCCTTGGGTGTGAAACATTTAGTATTAAAAGGAATATATTTATTTATGAATGGAATTTTTACAAGATTTCTACATCCAGATTTCTTCATCAGTTTCTAACTTTAAAAATAAGTTATTTTGCACTTACTTTTGTGTTTATTTTATTGAAATTGAAGTCAGTTGAAAATGACTCATCTAGGGATTTCCCCTCCAAAGCACCCATGTCCTTTGTTGGAGATGATACTAAAAAGTCATACAGCCGTTTCTGTGCCAGATTCTAGCTACAGTCCCATTCAGTGTGACTCTTCCCATCAGCGGCCAGGGTGCATCCACAGCTCAGTGTTATGACCTAATGTGTTCTGCATCAATTATGTATTGAATTAGAAATTCCTAGATTTAAGGAGGAACTCTATATAATTATTAATAAGCAGAAACCAAACAACATTGTTTTTCAACATTAAATTATTGAAAATAGTTATGGGAACAATTTCTTTTTAAAAAATTATTTCATTATACACCAACACACACACATACACACACACACGGGTGTTTTGTCTGCAAGCACATGCCAAGTGCCTGTGGAAGCCAGGAGAGGGTGTTGGGTCCACTGTAACTGGAGTTATGGATGGTTGTGAGCTACCATGTAGGAGCTGGGATTCAAACCCCAGTTCTCTGGAAGAGCAACCAGTGCTCTTAAATGCTGAGCCATCTCTCTATCCCAGGAAAAACTTCCTTATGTTTTAGTTTTTAGTTTCGGTTTGAGACAAGATCCTGCTATGTAGCCCAAGCTTGTTTTGAATTCATTATGTAGGCCAAATGGGCTCAAACTTGTGGTTGTCCTCTGTCTCAATCTCCAAAGTACAAATTATTTTTTAAAAATTAAAATTATTTCCAAAATCTTTTATTTTGCTAAGATATGTTTGAAACTAATTCTATGAAAAAGCAGTTCCCAATTTTTATTACCCAGGTATATTGTTTGTCCATTTTAACAGAATATAAATACTGATATTCACTGAAATCTAGTTGCAGAGAAGGAGGACTGATGAGCAAAGGGGTCAAGACCAGGCTGGTGAAACCTACAGAAACAGCTGACCTGAACAAGGGAGAGCCCTTGGTTCCCAGACTGACAGCTGGGAAACCAGCATGGGATTGATCCAGACCCCCTGAATGTGGGTGTCAGTGAGGAGACCTCGGAAATCTATGGGGCCCCTTGGAATGGATCAGTTCTCATCCCTAGCATAGGAATGGACTTTGGGAGCCCATCCCACATGGAGGGATATTCCCTGAGCCTAGACACAAGGGGGTGGCCTAGGCCCTATTCCAAAAAATAAGACAGACTTTGAAGACCCTCCTATGGAAGGCCTCACCCTCCCTTGGGAGCAGAAAGGGTATGGGATAGGTAGGGTGTTATTTGGGGGGGGAGCAAGGGAGGAGGGGAGAGAGAGGGACTGGGGATTGACATGTAAAATAAGCTTCTTTCTAATTAAAATAAAAAAACTAAAAATAAATAAATAAATACTGATATTCTAGAAATCCGAGCTTTCTTTCCTTAATGTTCATAATTAAATGTCTTTTATGGTCAGCGTGTCCCCAAGACTTAAATGAAGGTTTACATGTGTGTAGCTTCTGCCTGTTTGATTCTTTCTGTGTATTTTTTTCTGTGAATAAAGCTAACTTTGCAGTGTAAGTAAACCACAAACAGGCTTGGGGTAAATGTGGCCATCTGAAGAGTACTTGCCTGCCTGGCATGTGTAAGGTTCAATCGCAGCACCACTGCCACAACAAAAATTATAAATAGGATCAAGAAATTGTTCTTCTAAAATCCAGATTCTCTGAGACACTTAAATAAGTGTTCGACAGGATTTTGAGGTGGGGGGGGCAGGGAGGGAAGCCTATAACATAAAGTGATAAGCAGCTGTTTACCACGTGTTGTTGCTGTTAAGTCCCTATGGCTTATGAAATGGTTTTTCTTCAGGTTTTGCCATTTTAAATCCTGTTGTCACATATGTCTTTGAGGCAAATCACATGTGACAAACAAGCAGAGTGTAAATTCCCCTTGAAATAGTGCAGAAACTGAGGATCTAAATTTGCATTGCTACCTTTTAAGCTATTCATAAACTAAAGCACAGTTTCCATATGTCCATTGTCTAAACCGTGCCCCCCACCCCTCAGGAATGTGAGCACATTCCTCTGAAAAGTTTTTTTGGTTCAGCTTCATTTAGATTCATGCTTATAACACTGCTCACTTTTCATTTCAATGGCATCCAAGTGTTGCTCATCATCAGGAATTCTTTATCAGAACTGTCTCCTTAAGGTGTGGTCTGGTTACTATCAAGTGTGCTTCTAACCCCCATGGAGCATTACTCAGGGAAAAAAAAGTTAGATAATAATGCTGGTTATGTCAAACAAACAAAAAAATACCCCCCCTTGTGAAATCAGTTGAAATTGTGCTTTAGTGACTATTTTTTTTTTCAGAATGAGCTATTCTGTTTATTTTACCAGAACATGTGGCTGTTGACTGCACTGTTTAAGTGCAAAGATTATTACACTGACAATGATGTTATTTCTATTGCTTTGAGGTTGATCAAGTCACTGTTGCCTTTATTGTTCCCCCAATAGGAAATGCCATGCTGTTGAGGGTGTTACCTGCTGTGTATGAAAAGCAGCCTCAACCAATCAACAGACACCTGGCAGAACTCCTGGCCTTGATGTCTCAATTGGAACAGACAGAACAGTACCATCTCCTACGGCTTTTGCATGTAGCAGCAAAGAGAAAAGATGTGGAGGTAAAAAATGCACTGCATATATTTGATATACACTGTATAGTATGCGCACTCGCTGTGATGGCCCACACAGTCAGATTTAGTTCTGGATAATTTGAGCAGGATTAATGAGCTTAGGGTTTCCTTGCACATACATATATAATCAAAAGCATCTATCTGCTTATTATACACTTGTACAAGAGGAGAGACAGAGAGAGAGAGAGAGAGAGAGAGAGAGAGAGAGAGAGAGAGTTGGCTCATGCCACTATAAAGGTTGTTGTCTGTTCTAGAGACCCAGAAAAGCTGGGGGCATAGTTCTGATTCATATTGTCTAAGCCTCAATATGAGCAAATACCAATACTCTAGCATGAGACATCACATAGCCTGTGAATTCTCTCTTCCTTTCCCCTTTCCCTTTGTTTAAGTCCTCAACAGATTAGCTGATAACTCCATAGTGAAAGGGAAATTTCCTTTACCCAGTCTACCTCTTTAAATGTTATTCTCACCCAAAAGTATTTTCACAGACAGCCTGAAATGTTTAACAAGCATCTGGGCACCCTGTTATCCAATCAAATGGACACAAAATTACCCATCACAGTCACATGGATAAAATGCAACAAGCGTGACTCTGTAGCCATTGCAGGGTAACTTCAATGCAACTTAAACTTTAGAACTTATAGTTCTAAGAATCTATATTCTCACAAGCAGAGCCAAGAGAAAGATTTACACATGAGTTGATTCGTGAGTAAATGTGTCCAGAGTAGGAGCAAAAGGTCACTCTCTAGATACCAAATAGTTGTCATTCTTTATATCCAAGTAGCATACTGACGATATGGATGCTTGCAATTAGCAAACCACAGTAGTTTTGAAGGGACCAGCTGCCCCTTTCAGCAGCCATGACAGTAGCATGTGCTTGCCATGACCTTGCCTTGGTCACTAAGAAGTCAGATGCCTGCCTCGTGGCAAGGAACCAATCAGAAGTTAGCTGGTGGCTCTATGCTTTATGGCTCTGGGTGTGCTTTACAGACAAGTGCACAGGGATCTTTGAACCACCTAATAACCAGCTCATTGAATGGGCCCAGTGCCATGCTTTGTTCACTGCTGTCATTGCTTTAGAAAAACAGCGTAAATGCAGTGATTTAAAACTACATAGATGGGCTTGGGGTTTTTCAGGCCAAAGGCCACAGTGGGTCAGGAGGGCTAATTCCCCCTGCAGGCTCTAAAAATGAGTCTATTCCTTTGCCTTTTCTGGCTTCCAGGGGTCATTGGCTTCCCGGACACAAAATCCACATCACTCTTGCCTCTCCTTTTCTCCCCATATCTTCTCAGACACTGGTCCACCCCCAGTGTCTTCTACAGACCATTATAATTCCATTGGGACCACCCATGTAATCCAAGGGAATCTCCTCATCTCAAGATCACATCTGCACAGTTGATCACATCTGGTTCTCTTTGCCATATAAGGTAGCATACTCACAGGCTATCATAAGAAAAGGCTTATGAGTCCTCTATAGGAATCCATTGTCATGAGTCCTCTATAGGAAGCCATTGTTAAGATTACCAGGGGAGGGGGTGTTTAGAAGACAAGGAACCCCGTGTGACTAAAAGGCTAAACATAGTGTTCATTTTATCTGTGGCCTGGGAACTAAAACAAAACAAATGTGATTTCTAGACGATGGTTCTAGAGAGACTAACTTGATCTATATCAACTCATCCCCCACGGGGTGAGGACTGACCATGAAGGGGAGCAAAGCCAGTGCAGGCTCAGTTATAGGATAAGGGAAGAGAAAATGCCCTGAAGTTACCCACCCCAACCAATGCAAAGAGGTCCAAGAGTGAGGATGACTCCACATGTGGCATTCACAGAGGTTATGTCCAAATAATACAGCTGTCAAGAGGCTCAGAAAGGGGCTTATGAATCCAGTTAGTTAGTTCTCATAACCTCTTGGCCTCAAAACTTCAAAAAGATAGTCTGTGTGGCCCACTGGTGGGTATTATCTTGTGGGTAGTGGGCATCCACACACAGATTGTTTTCCTTCTGGAAGGTTCTTACCCCACAACTCTGACCCTTCTTGGCTAGCTATTCCTGTCATCTAGACAGACACTAAAAGTGTCAAAACTTTCTCAGAATCCCTTTCCCCCAGTTCCTGGTCCCTTGCTCCTCTAAAGCACCCTAAGACAAGAAGATTATCTGGCTCTGGTACCACCATGCTTACTGTTGGTCACAGCCAACAGAGGATCCCATGGCTGGTTTAGCACCTGGTATACAGTAGTCCTTTCATGGATATTTCTCACATGGAGAAGCTAAACTTAATTCCTAAATTTGCAGTCCTTTTCGCATCTAGTACCTCACTTAATCCTATAACTTACTCTATAATGTATTAATTTTCCTCCATCTTACTTGATCAAAACAGATGCCTGGAGGAGTGAACTTGCTTGATATCACACACCTAGTGAAGAATAAGAAAGGTCCAAGGTTTTGAAGCCAGGCTGTCTGAGTTGTACCTTCTTCCTCTCTTGGCCTAGGCAGCTGACCCTGGAGAAGGGTACAAAGGAGGATAGTTTTCTCATTGACAGTCACAGTGATAGAGGATGCTGAGAGTGGATGAGCTCATTTATAAATGTAGCAGCCCCTGGGTGGGTGGTTTGCACACACTCTCCCACTTTGTCCCACACAGCAAGATTTTTATAGTTTATTAAAATGTAGATCACTCACAGCGATGTGGAGTGGCTTGGTGAGGTGACTTTTTACACTGGCCTCATCCTGATCAGCCCCTCAAGGTCCTGTCTCCCTCTCTAAATCATAGTGAAACTGCCCTTCCTAAGGTCACCACATCCAGATAATCTGAATTGACATGTGTCATGGTTCCAAAGCCTCGCTGATAAGGCCAAGCTGTAACTTAAATCTGATATGATTTTTTTGACACCAAAAAGAAAAAAGAGTGAGTCTGGAGGCCCATGGCTTCTGAAGCAGATGGAGTTCCAGGGGATGCATCAGAATGTGTGGGAAAGATGACAAGAGATAGAAGGGAAGTGACTGAGAAACAGGCTCTGCATGAGGTCACTGGTTCCCAGTGTGGACCCCAGAACGGAGAGTACTAGGCCTTGGAGGCACTTAGAGTGACTGGGTGGACTTCACTGTACCCAGATATTAAGTGGTAGAAGAGGTTGTGAGAAGGAACTGCCAAGCCCAGCTGGTTCCATCCCTTCTTGTCATGTGAAAGTGTCCCCTTTTTATTTATTCTTTTTTTATTAATTCAAGTTAGGGAACAAGCTTGTTTCACATGTAAGTCCCTTCTCCCTCTCCCTCCCTTCACCCCTATCCCTCCTCCCCTACCCCCAAAATACCCCACATCCCATCCACCCACCACTCCCCAGGCAGGGTAGGGCCTTCAAACGGGGGCTCAGCAAAGTCCACCAAATCCTCCTGTGCTGGGCCTAGGCCCTTCCCCATGTGTCAAGGGCCAGAGTGTATCCCTTCACGTGGGATGGGCTCTCAAAGTCCCTTCTTACACCAGGGAAAAATGCTAATCCACTTCCAAAGGCTTCCTGGAGTGCAGAGTCCTCCTTATTGGCATCCATGTTCAGGGTTGCCCCTTCATTTTTTTTTCTTGTGGTCCTCTTAGAACTGTCACTGCCATAAGTGGGGACAAACAGAATGCTCACTTTACCTCCTCTCCTATGTTCCCTCCTCATTAGACAGTATTCAGGGGCATGATCACGGTGAGTGGTTTTACAGAGAGGTCTAGAAAGCACGAGCAACCAGGAATGTAGACTGCATTTCAACTTAATTCTAATCCACTTGCTTCCAGATGAAATAAGCAGGTGGATGTGGAGAAGTGTGGAGAAGTTTTAGGCTTGTCATATGTCACATGGAGGATGTGATGGTTTGGGTTGGAAATGTCCCTCACATGCTCATAATGCTGCAGGTATAGATCACTAAGGACAACAGACCTTTGGGGAGTTACATCTGCCTCAAGGTCTTCCATGATGTGAGAAATCCCCAACAGGGACAGAGCTTCCCAAAAGATGTTGCCCACACCATGATGCTCTGAAATCCTTGAAACCACGAGCTGAACCATCCTTTCTGGCCTTAGTTGCTTCTTTTGGGGTTTCTTGTTGAAGAAAAATAACTGGAACAGAGGTTATTAGTGATATCTATAATCAGTGCAGTCACCTGTAATATTTCTTGGGTTTCTGCTTGACTGGTTGGTTTTTTTTTTTTTTGTTTGGTCATTGAATGCTACCATTTTCACCACCTACCCTCTGTCACCAGTGAGAATGTGAGTCGCAGGACTGGTCAGTAGTAGGCCTTGAAAAACTATTCCTCAGATTATCATATAACTCAGGGATTAAGTGTTTGCCTAGTTAGCCCTTTCCTCCCTGTTAAAGCAGCACCCTGGAGACTCCCATTCAAGACTCTGTAGAGATAGACATTTCTCTACATATGAAATCTTAGAATCATAAAATCTTAGAATCAACACATCTGTAAGCTCTAAAATGCAGACATGTGGCCAGGCACATCTATCCTTCATCATTGACACTGGGCATCTTTCTTTACAGGGCACTATTCTTCCAAGATAGAGAGGCAGTTCCTGGCTAGTGACTCATGGTCAGCATCTCCAGGGGAACCTCAGGATCCATTTATAGGAAAAGTCTGTGTGGTCAGTTTTCCAAGTTGCCTTTATAAGAATAAAGTCAGTGTTTTCTTGGCTGCTGTGGGACATCCTGCATTCTAGCTAGCAAACCAAACATAATTTATTAATGTGTATGCATACATGTTATTAGCCCCAGGCATGGGCTTCTGGCCCCAGGCATGCAAAGATGAGTGACAGAGAGTGGCAAGTGGAACTCCCCCTCCTCAGTGTTCCCTCAGAGGAATTGATTTCTCGGTCTCATCCTGAAAGGAGACTCATTTCCTGGGTTTCACACAACAGAGTAGAACATTCCTCTTCTCCTGCCAAATCTTACAACACCTAACACATCATCCACCAGGCCAGTCGCCAGGCCCACAATGCTCAGGGGCCACTCTGCATAAATACTTGAAGTCATTTACAAAACATGAGAAGATGGAGCAATGGGATATATAGACCATTCAGAGACAATCTGCAGAACAGAGCCTGTTTTCCAGAACATCTGTGTGGAGGAAAAAAGTAGTAACCAAAAAGAGTGGCAATCAGTTTTGTAGATTCATAAAAATTAATGAAGTCTGGATGCTAGCTAAGCTAACTAAAATAGAAATTTTGCCTGAGGACAAATTTAAGTGGTAGAATACACACACACACACACACACACACACACACACACACACACACACCCCACCACGACCACACCCAACACACTCTATTCTATACACAGGTCTTGAGATGTCATTTACTACCAATCAAACAGGGCATAATTTTCCGATGACCTATTCTTTTTTTTATGATTCAAAGCAATTTTATTGAGCTATACGTTTTTTCTCACTTCCCTACCCTCTTCCCCTCTTCCCTTCCACCCTCCTCTCTACCCCCATGCTTTCAGTTGACTCATGAGATCTTGTGTTTTTCCCTTTCCTAGGTGGATCCATATATGTCTCTCTTAGGTCCTCTTTGTTACCTAGGTTCTCTGAGGTTGTGGCTTATAAGCTGGTTGTCCTTTGCTTTATGTCTAATATCCACTTATGAGTGAGTACATATTTATGTTTCTGGGTCTGGGTTATCTCACTCAGGATGGCTTTTTCTAGTTCTGTCCATTTGCCTGCAAATTTCAAGATGTCATTGTTTTCTACTGCTGAGTAATACCACATTGTGTAAATGTACCACATTTTCCTTATCCATTCTTCAGTTGAGGGGCATATATGTTATTTCCAGGATCTGGCTATTATGAATAATGCTGCTGTGAACATAGTTGAGCAAATGTCCTTGTGATGTGAGTGTGCATCCTTTGGGTATATTCCCAAAAGTGGTATTGCTGGGTCTTGAGGTAGATTGATTCCCAATTTTCTGGGAAACCACCATACTGATTTCCAAAGTGGCTATTCAAGTTTGTACTCCTACCAGTAGTGGAGGAGTGTTCCCCTTACTCCACATCCTCTTCAGCATAAACTGTCATTAGACTTTGACATGATCTTGGCCATTCTGATAGGTATAAGATCTTATCTCAGAGTTGTTTTCATTTGCATTTCTCTGATGACTGAGGATGTTGAGCATTTCCTTAAATACCTTTCATCCATTTGAGATTCCTCTGTTAAGGGTTCTCTGTTTAGATCTATGCAATGACCCTATTCTTAAGGTGCCCTTGGCTTTGGGGAGAGGTATACACTCTGTGATGAGGCCAACATTATGAACTATGGGGGATATAAAAAGAAGAGCCTAGTGTCCAGGAAGAACCAGAGAACCCACCACTGAGATTATACCCCAGCTGTTTGCTTTAGAGAGTTCTGTTCAAGTCCTCTCCCCCATGCTGCCCTTGCACTGTAGTTTAAACCCTCACTAATCACAGCACAGGACACTAGGGTCTTGGAAGTTTTCTAGACACCTTGAGCCTTCCTCTGTATTTCTGCAGGACAGGCTCATGTCATCACAAGCTGCTTCAAAGCTATAACTAATTGTAGCCCTTCTGAGTACCTTGCTTCCTTATCTTACCAAAAAATCAGGATTCAGGAATTGATAAAGATAAATGAGTTTGTTTACAGTTTGGGCCAGAATGAAAGAGAAAAAATTCTTTGTTCTCTCCAGCTTTCCTATTTTGGTTGTATAATTTATAGACGGCAAAGCACAACAAAAGCCAGAAAGTGCACATAAGTAGATTTAGCTGTGAGCTAAGCTGTCAGAGCTGTGAGAAATTTTCCTGAGGGGAATCCCCTCCTGGAAACAGAGCTTCAAGCTATTCTTATCCTTCACATATTATTTGGAGGAATTTTAATTTTTTTAGGGTCCATGTCACACTGTTAGGTGACCTCATATTCCTGAGAAGTGACTTAAATGACCCAGAGATAGCCACAGGCAGAACAAGGCAAGGGCAGAAAAGAGAGGGTTGGGGTCATCTATCCCTACTTCCTCTACACAGGCCAGCGATTGCAAGTTGAAATGAAGCATCACAGATTGTTACAAGGTTTGTTTATCAGGTAGGAGGATAGCAAAGTGCTGCTGAATATTTGGATGTGTGATGTGCACGGACTCTCTTGGTACTCTAGTCCCAGGTCCTCTGTCTATAGGGCAGGCAGAAGGAAAACTCAAATGTAAAAGCAGTTGCTTCCTCTGTCAAACCACTGAAGCAGTCAGTATCAAGAAGCTCACCTATGGGGAAGAAGCAGAAGAAACTCCCCTAAGTGAAGACCCTGCAAGACCACAACTTGGGCTTCAGGCCTTGGGCTGTTAGAGAGTCTTTGAAAGTCTCTAAGGGAAGCTTGATGTCATCAGATTGGGGTTTTAGGACAAGGTACATTGGAGGCATCCAAGAGACTAAGCCAAAGGGACAAAGGAGGCCATGGGGGAATTCTTTCCCCCATGGGGACAAGGAGGTGACAGCCATGCCAGCTTCCTCTCTGCCTGCAATCTGCGCTGCCTCTGACTATTCTGCTCTCAGCAGAGATAGAACTTGCTCCCAGACATGAAGTCAACCCAACAAGTTGGCAGTAGAGACACAGGCCCTGTGTGTGGAAAATAAAATTCCTCCTGACAGGGCATCACTTTGCTTTCAGTGTGTGGGACAAACTCCAAAATATCATTCTTTTCTATCACCATCATAATAAACTTGGTATAATAGGAATTCACAGCAAAATACTGAGCTTTTATTTCATGTGTTTACAGTATTCAAGATGGCTCTCCTCTCTGGGCCTTCTATGGAGTCATCTGCATCTGTCCCCCTCAGGGAGGCAAAGAATTCATTTGCTTGGTGCCTGCCTGCTTTCTGCTTCCTTTCTTCCTTCCTTTCTTTTGTCCTTCCTTCCTTCTTTCCTTCCTTCCTTCCTTTATGCTTTTGCTTTTCTTTTTCTTCTTTTCTCCTTGTGTCCGTCCTCATTTCTTTCTTTTCCTTTTTCCTTGTCAGGCTTGGGCTGTGCGACTGAGATTTAAATTAAAACTCAAAACTGGCATGTGAAGAACCATGTGTCGCAAAGACTTCTTGTTCCAGGAACAGGACCTGAAGGTCAAGGGCTAGGAAATGGAGTTTTCTGAAAGGGGCAGGAAATGTGTGAGCATTTTTCATTTCCAAATGCCTCAGGTCAGGTATGTTGCCCTGACCCAGTATAGTTGGCTGACATTTTTGCTGTATGTGCCAGGGACTTCTCATGGTGTCTCCTGAGGATATGTAATCCCTCCATAACGCATGGGCAGCATTAATAGAACTATAGATGTGTAACTTTTTGGGAACTAGACATGCTCTCTCCTCTCACAGTACTTAAATGACTACGAAGTTTAAATCTACCTGTAGGGTGATTTCAGTTATCTCAAGACTACACTTGGTTTGCCCCTGTTTGAATTCTATGTATGGCTCCCTTCCAATGTCTGTATGTATTAGTGACTTTATTTCACAGAAAGTCACACTTTCTAATAAGAATTTTTTAATTCTTGCATTCGTAAAGCAATAATAATATGGTGGAAATCATTTTGCATTAAAATGATATGTTATCATGACATACTCTGGTAGAACTGGAGCTCAAGAACAAGTGAGGAGTCTTCCCGCTTTCTTGCCTCCACTATGAAGCATTGCTAAATGGAATTCTCCCAAACAAGAGGCTTAGGAAACTCAACAAGGGTCTCTTACTCACTGACTGTCCTTCTGCTGCAACTCTGCTGGTTGGTGAAGAATGCAGCCTTCTGGAGGTTGATGCGAATGCAGCATTTTGGTGGCTGGTGAAGAATGCCACATTCTGGTGGTTAGTGAGGAATGCAGTATTCTCGTAGCCTATCAAAGTTTGGTTTGGGCATCAGCAGCAAGAGAACTTTCTGGACTTCACTTTTCAATAGGAGAGCATGACTTAAAAGGAAAGCAGACTCAGCTGCAGATGGTTTTATTGTATATTTTAGATTCCAAAGTCTGTGGATTTTACCATGGGATTAGTAATCCCAGGATGTGTTGCCTGCTGGTTTAATACTTAATAGGTTGCTGTCCATATGCCTGTAATCCCAGCACTTAGGAGGCTGAGGAAGGAGGAATATTTTAAATTGAGTCCAGCCTATGCTATGCATGAGACTGTCACAGCAAAGTTTTCTTTTGAAAGTGATTCTGATTTGATTAATGTTTCTCTTGTCTTTTCTTTCTCCTTTCCTCCTCTCCTCTCCCCTTGCAGGTGGTTCAGAAATGTATCCCTTTCCTCATCAGGCATTTGAAGGAATCAACCCATAATGACTTCATCCTAAACATCCTCATAGAAATAGCAGGCTATGAGCCACTGACCTTGAGCGGTTTTCTGCCAATGCTGAAGGAGATTGGGGAGAGATTCCCCTACCTCACTGGACAAATAGCTAGGATCTTTGGTGCTGTTGGACATGCAGATGAAGTAAGTTTGGCCTCTCTCTCTCTCTCTCTCTCTCTCTCTCTCTCTCTCTCTCTCTCTCTCTCTTCTTTTTCCTTCTCTCTTTTCTTTTCTCCTGCCTCCCTTCCTTTCTCTACTTCTCTCCATCCTTCTCTCCCTTCCTCCTTCCTTCCTTTTATCCTTAATTCCTTCTATTCTTCCTTCCTTCCTTCCTCTCCATCTCCCTGAGTTATTTAGAAATACCTCTAACCTCCAAAGTTGTCCAGGACTTCTGAGGGTTTCCATATCTCTTTTGAAACTTTTGTATCACCATGGCTTCTGGATCAAGGTAGCAAGGGTCTGTGGAAAGTTCCAGAATTGATAATTTCATTGCTAGTGTGTCTCTTGAGGTAGAAGGAGGGCTAAAATGGAAGAAGTTTTTTGACATATTCTAGACCACTGTGTAATGCCAACAGGCCTTAGCGGAGGTTCCTCACATTCTCTAATTGCACCTGTGCTAAACCTGGAGCCTGTGAGCAGAGTTAGGTCTCAGAGACACCCATCCCGAGAACCCACCCATAACTACCACGTCATAGAGTGCTCTGAGCACTGTGCGTGATGTTGTTTGAGAAAGATAAACATCTGTGGTTGTTTAAAAGTTCTGGTATAAATATTTGCATAAGGGAGTCTTGCAAGAGGGGTGGAACACCATCAGAGGTGTGGGCATCTAGCAGTTCAGATTTTAAAGGCTGTGCATATGAAAGTACATACACGTTGTGTCTCTTATGACTTTACATAGTGGTTCAGAGTTCTTATTTATCTATTAAAATAGAAGTAAATGTATAACGGAGAAAGTTTTCACTTAGCCAACTTACATACAACTTTCAATTAACTATAAAATTGCCCTATATTTTTTTAAGAAATACCATAGTTCATCTAAGTTTAATGTCTTGATTCTGTATAAGATAAACTTAAAACTCAGAGTGGGTCTGGAGAGATGGCTTAGTCACTAAGAACACGGGCTGTTCTTCCAGAAGACCCAGGTCAGATTCCCAGCACCCACATGACAGCTCACAAACCATCCATTACTCCAGGTCCAGGAGATCTGCCACCTTTTTCTGTCTGAATCTGCTGAACTTGTAGTTTATTGCAAAGGCCAGCAAGTTATTAAAATTATTAAAAAGGCTTATGATTCAAAAGCCTTTCCTTAACTTTAAAGTTGGTATTTTAACTCATTCTGAAGTTTATGTGCTCAGGAATAAGCAGCAAGTTATTGCTGAGTTTGAGTGAATTTGTTCTTCCCAATAAAGAAAAGCTTGTAGTACAACACTGTCAAAGGCTAGCGCCAAGGAGCTGGGTGGATCTGCCTGTGCCTTTCTATCCAAATACTTTGCAAAAAGAAACAAGGCCTTTCACTGAGGCACAAGGAGAGTTAGCTTGAGGGCTGGCGTCTGGTACAGAATCTTGGGCACCTATGAGAGTATAATATAGAGGGAGAAGCAAGGACTTTGCTCTAAACAAAACTCTACCTACTGCATTCTGTGGAGGACTCTTTTGGCACATGGGAGATTCGTGGTCTGTGGTAACAAATGAAACATGACATGATGGTGGGTGTTCACTATAGGACAGCCACATGACTTCTGAAAGCCCTGGCTCTTTGAGCCTCTCCTTTATCCTATGTTTGATCTTATTTAAAAATTAACTTAATTGGAATTTTTCTCCTTGACATCCAAGTAAACATTTCTGATGTGTTCAGGAGTTGAATCAGGGACTCAAAAGATTATAGAAACACAGAAATGTCAAACCAAATTCTGGATCTTGTTCCAAATTTTGAGATGTGCAAACTGGAGCTGAGTGGAGGGAGCCTCCTGTTAACTGTCTGAATTCCAGCAAATGCTTCTTGAAAGTATGTAGTCATCAGCCTGAGATGGCCATGGGGTAGAGCCGAGCATTATTAATTGGCTCATGTCTCACCCTCTGTGTCTGCATGAAGCCAGGCATAAGATCATAGATGGCTGTGATGGCTGTGATGGCTGTGATGTGATTTAACAGATGTGATTGTCTGTTAAATCATGGTCCATCTGGGCAGGCAAACTATTTCAACAGCTTGGTAGCAGCATCAAAATTTTGCCATCTGTATTGACCGGCATGGGAAAGTTGTATGCATACAACAAAACACAAAATCCTACAATACCTATTTCCCCTACCCCACAAAATTAACTCAGAAATCTTTTTTTGTCCAAATTAAAAGGGAGCCACACTAAATTGCTTTGTCATGCTTTGGTCATTGTGGGATGCCATATAATGACTGGTAGACCATTTTCACACATGTGCTTGCATCTGAAGCACAATTATTGCACAGAGAGTTCAAATGGAAGGGGCAATGCTTCGGGGCCAGCCCTATTCCATCTAGTAAAGGTCACATTAGTTCTCCATCACTTGGGGATCTACCCTCCTATTTAGGGATGCTCAGCTGAAGTAAATACACACATAGGAAATAGTAATTTAATAGACTCATCCTAACCATAGCAAAAGATATAAGGAAGCTTTTTCCGTTCTCAATGAGGGACTGAAATGTAGTGCCCTTAACACTGGAAATAACTTCTTAGTGGCTTTTCGGGTCCATCCCCTGGTAAATTTCAAAGGCAACAACAAAGCCTCCACTCCTACTTTGCTCTCATCTCCTGACTTTCTGTCTACTTGGAATTTTAATTCTTTCCTGAGCACACCTTGCTCCAGCATACATTATGATCTTCACAACCCATTCTGACCCAGTAGTCTTAACCCCCTCTCCTACTTCCCTTGCCTACCCTAGATTAAATACTGTCCCTATGTGAATTTTCCTTAGGAAAGTGAGTCATGACAGTCTATGTCCCACAACACTTGGGCTGTACCTCACATCTGCTAGCTGTGCCAGGTCAGTTTCTCCTCTAGGGTCTGATGTTCCAGAGAATATAAGTCACCTCCTATCCATCTGTTGCTGTGACAAAGCACTCTGACAAAAAAGCAGCTTGGGGAGTAAAGGGTTTAAATCTGACTCTTCCAGGTCACAGTTCATCATTAAGGGAAGTCAGGGCAGGACTCCAGGCAGAAACTTATAGACATGTGTAAAGTAATAGTGCTGTTTGTGATTCTCTTTCTCAATGACTTTCTGGTTTACAGGTTTGTGCTTACCTAGTTTCTTATATGGCCAAGTGTCACCCACAGTGGGCTGGGCCCTCCTGCATCAATTAATAATCAACCCACCCTGACAGGGACAATTACTCCATGGAGCACTTTTTCTAAAAGATTTTAGATTATGTCAAGATGACAGTGAACACTAATTAGAACATTACCTAAATTCACTTGTGGCAAAAATTTAAAGAACACTCAGGAACACTATTAATTAATAATTTGGATGCTGGATTCTTATTTGATGATTTTGCTTAATAGCATATTTCTCTAATTCTTCTAGGGAACATGGTTATAATGAGGGAGAAGAATAATCAAATCACATTGTATCATACATATACATATATATTCAAACATATCAATTAAAAAATAAGGTGAGGGATGGGGCTAATAGTGCAATGTTTAGCATGCATGTGATACACATGACCCTAGATTCAATCTCTGTACTATAGTGATTAAATTAATTAATTAATTAATTAAAAATGGAGAATGATAAGATATTAATATGGAGAGGTGGAAACTTTAGAACCTACACAATTTATTCCTGGCATCTAACAAGTGAAAAAATGACAAAGAGAAGGCAGGGGAACAATATCCAGAAAGAATGTGATAGAGACATGAACATCTGTGATACCAAGGGACCCTGACTCCTTGATTGGTGGCCTAAATGAAAGATAATTCTGAGTGGATCATGAAAATGAGTCGTCAAGATCCCCAGGCTGAAAATTCCCAGAAGTGCAGCTGCAAGAGGGCCCATTCATCTCTGTAGACAGGGATGATCCCAGCAAAGACGTCTCATGAATGAGACTGCTTACTATCGAACCATCGGCACAGTATCACAAGGTGAGCAAGAGCCTGGGAGCTCATGCCTCCCAGCCTCAGTTTCAATCCTGAGTCACTTTCCAGTCATGAGGCCTTGGGTAAGTTAATACAACATTTCTTCACTTTCCTCATCTGCAAGTTGGGAATTAGTGATATTAGTCACCTCACAAATTTGTTGAGTTTAATGAGTTAAACTGTAAATCAGTGTCTAGAAAATAATAAATAGCCAAACGATGTCAGCACTTTTTGACTCTCCTTGTTGTTGTTCAATCCTTTTTCATTGTATTTGTTTGTAGACAAGCTGAAACTTGGGCATAAGACTGAAATTAGGGAAGATAGCAACCATATAAATGGCTGGTTTTGATATAGGGTCTGCAACCCTGAATGGATGTGTGATGGGACAAGTCAAATTATGGGCGAAGAGAATTAGAACAAATCACCAGAGACACCAGCAAGCATCAATAACGATGGAGGACATACCTTCACCTTCTTGAACAAACAACCACTCTATGTGATATCTGCTGTATATTTGATATTTATGACAGACATCATTTCTGGAGAAAATAAGAATAACAGAAATGTAAGGGCATTTTTCATGAGTTTTGTCTTTAGCTTTCTATAAATGGCAGGCAGTTCTAGCCCCCTACAACACACACACACACACACACACACACACACACACACACACAATTCAGCATGCACATAGCAATTTTTAACTTTAAACTCTCATTAATAAGATGTAAAAGGGCCTAAATTGAATCCAAAGTGGGGTGGTTTTCCTGTCCATGGAGGATTAAAAACTGAATGTTGTTCCAATTTCAGAGGGTTTTTTTAAATTCATTTCTTTCTTCATTGGAAATCTTGTCTATAAAAAGGGTCTCAGCACATTTTTTAGGGTGTCAAGGTCATCACAGCTCTCCTTCCTAACTAGTAACTATTGTAATTTTTTTAAGTGGCTCAAGAGAGAAAAACAACATGCTACAGAGTTCAAGTGAAAGGTGTCATTATTATTATTATTATTATTATTATTATTATTATTATTATTACTAAGG